CACTATATATGTATATATATATAGTTATAGTATATATATATTATATATATATATATATATAGTCTCCTTAGATTGTCTCTCTTTTTATCTTTATTTATGTTTCTCTATATTCATTGTAATGCACCTATTTACCAAGGCAAATTCCTTGTATGTTAAACCTGATTCTGATTCTGATTTCAAACACACATGATGCACACATTGAGATTATAACTACAGAATGTGAAATCAACTGTGTACAGGTTATTTTAATCCCACGGGCACACGGGTGTGTATGCTTTACACAAACTGCTGTAGATGTGACTGCAGTTACACCTGATGGGAACAGCTGAACTTATTTCACACACAGGAAATAATTAAATGAGTCCCACAGTAAAAGTTCTTAACATTAATAATGTCAGTCGTGCAGGGTTGGGGTGAGCACACACACAGAAAGCCAGACAATAACAGAGGAATGGCTGCCAGCTGCTGCCAGCTGCTGCCAGCTGCTGTCCACAGCTGTCCACAGCTGGCAGCAGCTGGCTCGTGTCAGGCTGACATTCCAGAACACAGCCTCGAGCTAACATTAGCCAGCTAACTTATGTGTCCATATAACTCACCGGTCTGGTTGGGTAAACGGTGGACAAATGCGTTTTTAGGTCCTTTACGGTCCAGTTCAGACAGACGCCTTCGACGGTTTGGTCCTCGTGAGTCTGGTTGGGCGTTTTTATGAAAAGCGAAATCGTCTTTTGTTCAGAAACCCCCTCATCCATCTTTACTCTCTCACTCGTTCTCTCTGTCTCTTTAGAGAAAATGTTTGACTCGCTACAAATACGATAAGAAGAGTCCTCGTGATACGGTTCGTCCGTTGACACAGGAAAAGCGACGCCAGCTGTCTCGTCTACAGTAAAACTTGTGGGACAGGACCTGGAAGTGTCTCTCTGCTGGTTGTCATACGGGACTTTAACGGGGAACGATGTTGTTTCCAAACACACGGTGGCCGCTCCTGATTGGTTACCCTGCGCTCGTGCTGAGACGTGGAGGCTCGGAGAATCGTTACTTTGTGAGCATGCGCTGTAATCATTATGGTTTCGAAGATCGTGTATTTACAAAAAATACAGTAGCGAGTTGCTCACTCTGGTGCGATTTTGGGTACCAAAAACAAAAGATAAACACCAAGCTAGACAGTAAGAAAATAAGTAAGAGAGACACGTGGCTGATTTGTTTAACAGCAGACTAATTAAACAGAGCTCGTAAAACAAGAAACTGCTTCTAACATTTGCTAACACAATGTCATGTGACTGTGGTTTGACCTTTACTCTTCCTGAACATGGAGACTAAGTGAGGGCTCTTTTCTTCTTTATCCTCTCACACAACAACACATTTTTCTGACAGCAAAATTTGTCTATCCACTGAAGTTGCATCAGTCATGTTACATCATAAGTCAATCGACTTGCAAATGATCAGAAAGGAGTTATCCAATAGCTAATGAACACACAGACTAGGGATATTTGAGTATTATTGACACCCCTAAAAATCATAGTTTGGCAGATGCAAATTAAATTGAATGATACATTACACATTGTAGTAGCATATTGATGAAGGTGAAGTCTGTAGAGTCTAATACGAAACAGTATTCTAAATGTTATTGACCCGTTCAGAGAGGTAAAAAAAAAAAACATTTTGACTTGTGACAATGCATCATACACACACAGACACATACAGTCTCTTCATATAATATGAAGCACACCGTCTAGTGTTATTTCTCAATTGTTCTGATGAGTCTTTCAATATTAAACATGTTAATTAGAACAATGATACTGAACTAAAGTAACCCATTTGTGCCATATTTAAGGAAATAAAACATTTCATGCGCACATAACTGTCAAATATTACATCATTTTGATAAATAATTTATTTTTAATTGTAAATATGCTCTGAAGAGTGATTCACTCCCGCCTTACGTCTAAAACATGTCAATCTTTACACAGCAGATGTCAGAGTTAAGAACATGGTAAATACAGGAATAATACATTAATTACAGGATTAGATAATCATCAATAGTTAGTCATCCAAGTCAAATAAAAAATGTCAGGATGTTAGCGAGTTATAATTTGTAGTTCAGTATGTACGCATTAGTCAGAAATTTCATTGGCAGTAGAAGGTGAGGACGTTTTCCTGGTTTCCTCTGACCAGCAGGACTGGAGGTCTCAGGTCACGTGACAAGAAGTCCAGCCAGGCCAGGTAGAGAGTACTGGGACACGCTCCTCTCCTCCCCACCGGCATGGTGCTGCAGGAGACATACAGAGTCCCGTCAACAAAGGTTTAATGTGGTGAACAGATACTAATAATGAGTTCAAAACATCCACAAGCGGTTGCTTTTAAAGTCAAAGTGACTGTGTGTGTATGCTGTCAGGCTTAACAAGTGACAAGCCAGGAGCCATTCACCCAGAGTGGAGTGGTGCAGTTGGCAAGTCATGTAATTATAAAGCCACTCCTTTTACTCTGTCGTGTCTACCTTCTAATGAAGTGACCTAAAGAGAAGAATGACTGTACTCACATAATAATGAGAGCAGCTTCTCTGGAGTAATCCTGCAGAACTTCATTTAGACGGATCTGACGGAGGGACTGAATTCCACAGAGAACAGTGGAGGAAGACAGGAGAAAAAAAAGGGGTTGATTATTTCTTCCTCCTAACATGTACTGTATCCAAATGTGTGTGATGGTCAGGTTGTGTTAAATGTGTGTGCTTTTCTGTGTGTGTCTCAGACCTTGGCCTTGTTCCTCTCTAAATCCTGTTCAGTGATCATCCACGGCTCCTGCTGCTGTGTTGACGGCTCAGAATCGGAGTCCTGTTTGGGGTTTGTATCCAGCCTGAAGCGACCCACCATATTCTCAAACTGATGAACACTGGAGCACACAGACACACACAGGGATCATAGGTACTTGCATAAAGTAAATTATTCATTCCTGTTTTTTATTACGATTGTTTTTTTTAACTTTGTTTGGCAGGGCTGCTGTTGACACCAGCATGTTGTTTGTTGAAGCAATCGAGACAATTACTGGTGGACCTATAGGCCTCGAATGAAGGGATGGTTATTAATATTTAGGCTGTGAAGCACATTTAGGCAAGGCCATAGCCATGGCGTTAACATTAGGGGGGGACCAAATCTGCCTTTGAAAAGTCCTTTCCTGCCATTATAAAATATTTAAAAATTCACTAACACATGGGATAAACTTCTTATTTATTTGTTTTACAATAATGTGGAGGCCAACAGAAGCCTCTATGTTAAGATTAGACTGTTGCAATGTTATGCATTGTGGCTGTGAAACTCGCAGATTGCCCTATTTACAGCCAGTGTTTGGTTTGTTCAACATAGCAGCCTCTGTAGAAGAGGACCAGCTCCCTCTGTAGACAAAAATGGC